AATTTTATTTTATATTAATTAATGTTAATTTTTTAAATTGATAATAATGTAATAAATTAATAAATTTATTTTAAATTTTAATTTGTATTATTATTTATTTTATAAGTTGATAATATTGTATTTATAACAATATAATAAATAATTTATATTTATTTTAAAATATTTAAATTTTTACAAATAAATAAATAAATTCATTTATGTAAACTTGATTAATGTAACTTAATTACTCGTAATTAGGTTGGATTGAATTTAAAAAAAAAAAGTACGAATTCAATCTAATTTATTTCATTAAATTTTGGTTGTGTTTGAGGCAAGTAACAAATTCATCTAAATCTGGCTTAATTCAGCCGCCTACACCCAAGGTTGTCTTCTTTCTTGGGTATTGTTTAATTTGGCGTCTTCACCGTTAGCAGATGGAAAAATTTACGTTTCATGCGTTTGGTGGGCATCAACACAAGTGTGCGATACTGAAAAATTGTGTATAATCTGAATTTCTTATTGTGGCACATTCCTGTAATACCCAAAATTTCAAGAATAGAAATTGAAAAAAAATATATAGTTAAATATATAATACCAACGTGTAATTATGCTTCAACATAAAATGCTTTAACTGTTAAAATTACTGTATGCTTTCTGTTAGTGTAGGATTCTTCTGTTCACTGCTCATAAATTATTTGCACCCAATCAATAAAAATCACTTGCAGTTTGGGTACAGTTGATATGAACTTTTTCGGCCTTTGACAAGATATAGAAACTGAGACTAACATTCGGAAACAGTGATAAGGTAAAATTTAGTTTAAATGTATAAAATCAGTGAATTTTAATTTTAGTTTCTGTATTTTATTTTTGGTTATCCTTCAAAAGTTTAAAATTATTGTTTTTTTTTCCTTCTCAAAATCAATCTGTTCATGTTAAACACAAATATTTTACATGAAAATATTTTTGGAAACTTTTCTTTAATGAGAGAATTTTTAAATTTTTTAAAACTTTTTTATCTAATTCAATTTTTATTTATCATAATTGTTTACGAATTAAATTTTTATATTTTAAAATAAATTATCAATAAATAAAATAATATTATATTTATTTATCATAAATCTAAAATATAATTTATATGTTTAAAAATATCTATTTATATAATTTTTAAATATAATTTATATATTTAAATATATTATTTATTTATATATAATTTATTATAAATTTTAGCTATACATAATAAATATTTAGCCTGTGCAATACATAGACTAAAATATTAGTATATGTATAAAATCAACTTAGATTGATGTGAATGACGAGAGACTCAACGTGAATCGAATCATAACTTTTAAAAATGCAAAAAGATTCATGCCAGAAAAGGAAATATCCACTTATTTGGTCTCTATTAAACTCGTGAATGAAATTGTCCCTGAATTCGATGAAAAAAAAAATTACATACATATAATAATTTTCATCCTTTCAAAATTTAAATTACTTTTTATTAGTTCTAAATATTTATTTGAAGAGAGGTTATAAAATTCAATTTAGGAATTTGAAAAAATATAAAGATGGTATGTTGACCGGATATTATACAAACATGGTTACTTAATCTTTTATTAATACAAAAACTGTTAACAGATGTTAGAAGACAATAAAAAAAAAAAAGAAAAAAAGATGAGCTTTAAGTTTTTCCAAAGATAAAAATTTACAAAGATCCAAAAAATAAAATAAAATTGCTAGTCGGGGAAAAACATATTTGATTCGTAAAATTTTCTCTGGTGTAACGATTTTGGGAATTTGAAGTCTTACATTACAGGTAATGTTGTGCTAAATGTGCAGAAATTACAAACCATTAACGTAGTATACAATTTATCAAGGAGTAAAATGGTTAAATAAATAATAATCTTTTTAAATAAATAAAATAAACTAGTAAATTATCTTACACAGAAGAAAATCTGCGACTACCATCATAAATCATAAATAAGATATAAAAATTTCTTTAAAAAATGTGTATACTGAAATACTATATATCATTATATATTATAGGTAAAATAAATGCACAGCTGTAACCTTTTTTTAGGTGTTCAACCTGAGCATCCAGTTTCTTGGATATTTTCAGCACAGAAATTATCATTTTTTTTCTTCTTCTAGATCTCTATCATCAATACAAATAATGAATGATCCGAAGGAGAGAAATAAAAAATAAATAAAAATTGTTATACACCTATAATAAATAGTAAAGTTAAAAAATTATTAAAATTATAATATAGAAATTAAAAAATCTAAGACAAAAATATTAAAAATTTACTTAAAAAATTATTAAAATTAAAATATAGAAATTCAAAAATTTTAAGTGAAAAGATAAAAATATATTTAAAAAATTATTAAAATTAAAATATAAAAAATTAAAAATTTTAAGTGAAAAGACAAAAAATATACTTAAAAAATTATTAAAGTTAAACTATTTAAATATATAATAATATTATTACAAATAAAATAAGAATATATAAAATAAATAAAATGACTAAATAATTTAAAAATTTAAAAAATAAAATATCATAAATATTATTTAAATAAATTATTAAAAATATAAAATATAAAATAAAATTATAATTACAACTGTACCGGTACTCTCCCAAATAATATGAGTACCGTAGAATTTCTCTATTTCTCTATTTAAAATTACTCTTCTTATACTCTTGCCTCATTTTCGTTGAGTCTAAAATATATGTTAGAATACTTTTGCAAGCCCCATTTATCTCTTAGTTAGACTGCCATTGCCAATAGGTGTGAAGCCTGCTGAAGTGATTAGGTTGTCCCTACACCACCCTGTTGTCAGGTACAAGTAAGCATATGAACATCTTATTTTCCTCGACGTAGTTCGACACAAACTAGGGTTATAGAAAAACTTACAATAATCAAGCAATATTATCTTTATTCTTTAGTTAGGTCTTTGGTCATTCTCTATGGTTCTACCAAAAATCAAAGATCGACATTATAGCCCAGTTAAATCTTTTGTTTCATTAATCAACAATGATGCTAACGTACATAGTTAAAAAAAAAAAAAAAAAAAAAAAAAAAAAAAAAGACTAACATAAAAAATAAAAAAAAAAAAAAAAAGACTAACATAAAAAATAAAAAAAAAAAAAAAAAGACTAACATAAAAAATAAAAAAAAAAAAAAAAAGACTAACATAAAAAATAAAAAAAAAAAAAAAAAAAAAAAAAAAAAAGCGTAAATTCATTTTATTTGGTTTATGGAAACTTTATTTTGGTTCATATGCAACACCACGAACATAAAAAATAACATGGTCATAGGAAGCCCTTGTCTTGGAAACTTTTGATGCAGTCATCAAACATTTGTTCAAGGGTTTTGAATGAAGGAAACCCCAGCTGAGTAATTTTGGTGGTGTCCATGCTGTGTGGGTTATTATCCCCTTCCTGGCTGCTACACCTGTAACATCGTACGTGATCAAACCATAAACTGTCATAATAGCATTGTAACTAGAATGTCTACGCCATTTAATTTGTAGCAAATTAATGGAATGTTTTTGGAAGAGAGAAAAGAAAACAGAGGAACTAAAACATTAATAATTAAGCATATATTTTTTTTTTGTTTAGTTGAAGAAATAATAAAAAGAAAAAAAAACTTAAAAAAAAAACAAAAACATTTTCTTTTTTCTCTTCAATACAAATTTCAAAATTTTCTCCCCTCTCTCATTTTTAATCTGTTGTTCCAATTACAACTTAATGATTTTTAATCCGTGGTTCAAAGTACAACTTAAGATTTCAAAATACTGACTTGTTTTCATATGGATAGGAAGGATATTTGGCACGAAGCATTTCAATGATTTGTGACCAGTGAGCTACTGCACTTGAACAAATAAGCCTGCCAGATGCCTTGGGATCCTCCATAGCCAACAAGTGAGCAGTTACCACGTCGTTTATGTGTACGAACCCCACTGTTGTGTTTGGATATTCTCCTTTCATGCCTGTTAAAAGATATATATGTCGCCCAAAATTTAAAAAGTAAACCGTTTAGTCGTTTTAATAGAATTGAAAGTAGGATGATGAATCTTAACCTATATTTATAGTAGAAAATTGAAAATAATGCATAAGAGATAAGCTATTCAAATCATATATATAAATATAAATATACATATATACATACATATATATATATATATACATACATATAT